TTCAACATTATTAAAGTAGGAATATTTTAACCACCCAAATCAAAAATGCAAAATGGTTGAAATTCAAAAATATCACACCAACACAGCAGGTCAAAGGAAAGGAAAGATGATTTTGGCTAACCTCGGGTGTTACAACTTCAAAGCATCACCAGCTAAGAGATGCATAGACTCCAGTTATTCGCCTCTTACGACCACGCAGGGATAAACGGTTGCTAGAACTCTTATTAGAAATAAAGGGAGTCCCAATATCTTTGTTCGACAAACACTCAATAATTTATATTTATGGTGTTATAAAGAACCTTAAAGTTATATGAAAAAAGTACAACTTTTTAAGTAGCACCTATTTATTAAAAGCCACAATGTGATTTGTTTTCCATAATTTCGATTCATAGATTTATAGATTTTGCGCTGATCTACATGCGTTCAATGTAATAAACAAAACATAAGCGGAACTATTAAATGAGGACATATATTCTGTTGAGCTCTTAAACGTTTTACCATTGAATAAATCAGTTTTGATTTTAATTATGACTTATTTCACTTTTGTATATTGATCTTATTTTGAGAGTGAGGGCAACTGTCGCATGCAGAATGCTTCATCTATGTTTACAAGTAGCAATATGAAGATCACGAGGCCTATAGTAAGTGTCAAGTAGACAATGGTGACTCATAAAAAGCCTGTGTTAAATTAACACTGATGACAAGTAAGTTCCTTTGGGCAATTAATGTCATTTTCATAACAACATTTAGCGTGACATCAAATGAGGAATGGAGTAGAAATAACAGCCGAGATGCAGTCTATGGGTGTTTTGATTTCTATATACTTATAGTTCATTGGTTTATTAAACGTATTCCGCACATATTTAGAGATTAAAATGGTTGAAATAAATAGATAAAGTATGCCAAATTTGACGAAAGAATTTTTATATTCAAAAATTTCAAAAAAACGTTGTCTAATTTTGTATAATCAAGAAAGGATAAGTAAGAAGAAATAATTTTGTATAAGTAGACTGTTATTATCATTTTATTTGCTTTCCTGGCGTTGATATGTGCAACATAATGAGCGGGAAAATAGCTGCAATGCGAAAGGGAAAGAAATGTTACCACTTTAGTAATTTGTTACTACATTCAAGCTTAATCAAATCAGAACTTAAGTATTCAAATGTTGATTGTTATAAAGAATGAACAGAATAAGAACTTGTTGTAATAACTGAGTTATGTGTTTAGTTTCCTAATTCTTTTCTTGCATATCAGACTGATATTTCCGTTATTTTTACCCATGCTAAAAATTTCGTACTTGTAAAGTCGTAAAGACGTAACTAGTTAACCACATAACTAACTAGTTAATTAAGAGGTTAACTAGTTACGTAATGTGAGTTAGAATCAACCAACTTTACAGGAATAATGATCAACATCACTGTGAAACTATGCACCTGGGGTTTTGCATGTGGATTTTTTCGGTTTTGTTAGAGTTATTGCCCTTAATTTAGTATAAATTTACAATTTTCAACTTGTTAATGCATAACTCAAAAAAAAGTTTACCTGTAGGTCTGAAAGTTTACAAGAATGTTGATCAGCCATGTACTTATGCACCTTGGGGTTTGCTTGTGGATTTATTCATTATTTGTAAAGTTCTTGCCCTTACTTAGTAAACGATGTTTAGTTTTCAACTTGTAGCACATGTAGCCTAAAAATATTTGACTCAAAGTCATGAGATTGAGAAAACAGTGGAGTGGGGGGGGGGGGTGCACTCATTTCTAGTTTGCATCGGATTCGTTCAAGATTGTAAATTCTTCACTCAGTTTTTAATTCATTTGTGCTTAATTTAAGTTCTTAATGAAATTAATAAATGATAATAGATCTTACATTATACAACGTCCTCAAGTATACAACAAATAACATAATTGAGCCGTGTCACGACAAAACCAACATAATGGGTTTGCGACCAGCATGGATCCAGACCATCCTGCGCATCCGCGCAGTCTTATCAGGATCCATGCTGTTCGCTTACCAACCCTATTACAAGTTGAGAAACTGATAGCGAACAGCATGGATCCTGATCAGACTGCGTGGATGCGCAGGCTGGTCTGGATCCATGCTGGTCGCAAATGCACTATGTTGGTTTTGTCGTGACATGGTTCATATCTAAAGTGAAGGATGATATATTATTTGAATCTTGGTGGTGTCCGCTCACAAACATTATGTTTAAACGTTGCTTGTGACATGTCAAGTTTAAAACAATCTAACACTTGCTTTGTTACATTATGATTATATAATCATGAAAAATTAGACAACAGCAAAACGAATTCAATAAAAGAAGTGTTTAATAATGCCTATAAAAGTGTATTGTTTAAATTGCGCCGATGTTAATTATGTAAATTTTACTTAAAATGTATTGTTTATGATAATATCTTTTCACTTAAAAGAATCTACATCATTTCATGAACATAGTGTTGATATATTAAAACTATATCATGAATTCACCAATTTATACTTCTTGAATACATATTAAGTTCCAAAATTTATTTACTTAAAGATAAACATGTAATAAAACTTTTTCCCAAAGATGTCTATGTTACTATTCGAAGAAAGGGACTTAATTCAAAATGTAAAGAATTTTAAAAAATTCTGCCAAAAAAACGACACCATCTGTTTCAAAAAAATTGTTGTTTTCAGCAGGTTAATTAGTTTGAGATCAGATAAACCGCACAGTTGCATCTTGTGTAGTTACAAATGTCTTCAGTTTCAGGTTTATAAGATAAATTTGTTTAACATATTTCCCGTTCATGTCAACACCAAAATAAGAACTGTTTTGTTTTTTTTAGGACTATAAAGTATATTATGTGAAACGTGTAACAGTATAAAGAATAACTTGAAGGTTCACAAAATATCTCTCCATAGATTTAAGACAAAATTTTCTTTAAAACAAAAACAACTACGTAAATGGTTCCGATATGAGGTACACATGGGTCACATCAGTTTATTCTAGTCTATCAAATGAAATCTATGAAATCTTTCGGAGCACACAGCTAAGATATAATTATATATTGGTTCGGCCTTGATATTCTCTACATATATGTATACTTATGATTTAAAAGGAAGCTTGCTGCGTAATGCATATTTGAGAACGATGTATTAAGAAAAACACTAAAAAATATCATAATTTTTGAGAATTTATTTATACATTTCTAGCAGTTTTGACCTAGGTCTATAATGACAACTACGGAACGAAAAGATCGGTAGGAAGTTAGCAGTAGCAGTGAGCAGTAGCAAATTTATAAAACATGAAATTGGCAGTAGCAGTAGGACGGCAGTAGAAGACGTGAAATTGGCAGTAGCAGTAGCTCAGCAGTAGCAGTAGAAAAATTATAAAACGTGAAATTGGCAGTAGCAGTAGCAAAATTATAAAATGTGAAATTGGCAGTAGCAGTAGCTCAGCAGTAGCAGTAGCACAATAATAAAACGTGAAGTTGGCAGTAGCATAAGCAGTAGCAAAATTATAAAACGTGAAGTTGGCAGTAGCAGTAGTTCAGCAGTAGCAGTGGCAAAATTATAAAAAGTAAAGTTGGCAGTAGCAGTAGCTCAGCAGTAGCATTAGCAAAATTATAAAACGTGAAATTAGCAGTAGCAGCTAGTAGCTCAGCAGTAGCAGTAGCAAAAATTATTAAAATGTGAAGTTGGCAGTAGTAGTAGCTCAGCCAAAGCAGAAACAAAATTATTAAACGTGAAGTTGACAGAAGCTCAGCTGTAGCAGTAGCAAAATTATAAAACGTGAAGTTGGCAGTAGCAGTAGCTCAGCAGTAGCAGTAGCAAAATTATAAAACTTGAAGTTGGCAGTAGCAGTAACTCAGCAGTAGAAGTAGCAAAATTATAAAACGTGAAGTTAGCAGTAGCTCAGCAGTAGCGGTAGAAAAATTATAAAATGTGAAATTGGCAGTAGCAGTAGCTCAGCAGTAGCAGTAGCAAAAATATGAAACGTGAAATTGGCAGTAGCAGTAGCTCAGCATTAGCAGTAGCAAAATTATAAAACGTGAAATTGGCAGTAGCAGTAGCTCAGCAACAGCAGTAGCAAAATTATAAAGGTAAAGGTGGCAGTAGCAGAAGCTCAGCTGTAGCAGTAGAAAAATTATAAAACGTAAAATTGGCAGTGGCAGTAACTCATCAGTAGCAGTTGCAAATATTTGGATATGAATTAATGAATACAACTTATAAGTAAAAAGTTTTGTGGAAGATATTTTGTTTTGATGATGGTATTTTATTATTTGATTTACCTCCTTTGTTTGACACATCGAATAAATTCAATGTACGTAGAGTTACTCAAAAAAATAAATGAATGGACATTTCAATTAAACGCCAATTGTATACAATAAAAGTTTACTTGAATATGGAGATAAATTTCAATTAGAAATAAACATATTTAGAAATCTGTACAGTAGCTTTCCCAAAATTATTCATGTGCCAGCTAGTATCGATAAGATCATCAAAATCACTTATTTGTTTATTATTCTTTGTTTGCATGTCAAATTGAATCTTCATTCATATCAAATATCGAAACAGGCTTAACATAAATTATTCAAACTTGCTTTACACGTCGATTGCTGTATATTAATGTTGATTTCTGTTTGCATTACCTGGGGGAAGAAATCATGAAAATATATTTTCGTCTCTTTCATCATCAATATCTATTATTTTTTGATGATTTTTTTTGCATGTAAGTTCAATTCAACCCATAAGGCAAAATTAGGCAAAGCTTATGAACGGGGAAGTCGTTAAAAATTAGTTTCATTCTTTCCGTTTTAAAGGTGTCATTCGGTATTTAATGCAGCGCTTCCGTTTTCACTCGGAACACTCGACGATTATTATTAATCCGAAAAGTTGAGATTTGTCTAATCTGGTTCCCTGTCCTATTATGGTTCCCATCCAAGACAGAAACAGTTTTACAAATATTTACGCATAATAAGCATAATTAAAGAATTTTCAGAAATAAATACGTTTTTCAGTGCACAAGATCAAACGCCAGTCCCAAACTGGGGGAAGTGGAGGACAAGCTCCAAGCTTTGATCCAAACAGCGTTAATCAATTAACAGCCAAAATGTTAGACCCTAGCAAACAACAGCTCGGTGCTAGCAATGGTGCTGGCTCGGTTAATGGTGCATCGTTTGATCCTGATCAGTTCAACACAATGAAGTTTAATTTCTTTAACCCTCAAGCTCAGTCAAGTAGATTTTATTTTACTTCTTGTTGTCTTCCGTTCAAAACTATTTGATTTAGACGAGATATAACCCAGCTTAAAGCCTTGATCTTGACTATTGGTGACTCTTTGTTGATAGCACGAACTAGAAACAGTCACCGCCTTCTGTAAGAAGTTTGATAGCTTTTAAGACTTTCAAGATAACATAATATATTATTATTGTATTTTTATTACTTACTATCCTTATTAACTTATCGACAAATCGACAATTTCAAATAAATTTCGTCCGAGAACCCCAAAGAGCAATAAATAAAACTAGACCTGTTTGATTTGGTTTGTTCGTGAGAGATACATGTACGTAAGACTTCTCTCATGTCCCTAGCAAAATAATCCATTTTCGCATAACTGAATGTAAAGATGTATGCTAAATATGGGTAGACAAATGTATGAAAATTGAATTTAAAAGTTAAAAAATCTATATTTCCACAGACCATAAAGTGAAAACAAGAGCGATCAGTAATCACATGTGTTGCCTCATGATGGCCAATTTCATGTTGAGACAAATTTTGTGACAGACGGACAGACAGACGGACAGTGCACAACTAGACTTGGTACTGATCATTCCTGTAAAGTTTGGATAAAATTGCACCAGTAGTTTATGATGAGTAGTCCGGACAAGCTTTTGCGAATCTGACAACACACAGAAAAAAACACCTTTTTATCAAAGGGCCATAACTCGACCAAAAATCATTCAACCAGAAAACCCGTACAAAATGCGGAAGGACTTGAGCTACAGATCAATCCTGTAAAGTTTCATTGAAATTGCATTAGTGGTATAAGAGAAGTAGTCTGGACAAACTTTAAAAGTAAAATTATTAAAGGGCCATAACTCTGACAAAAATCATTGAACCGGAAAATGCTGACAATATGCACAACTACACTTGGTACTAATCATTCCTGTAAAATTTGGATGAAATTGCACCAGTAGTTTATGAGTAGTCTGGACAAGTTTTGTGACGGACGGACGGACGGACGGACAGACAGACAGACAGACGACGGAGAAGTGATCCCTATATGTCGCCACTAGACACGAAAAATCCCAGCAACATTGATTTATTTTCAGGCGATGGCAGTGGCAGTAGTAGTGGTTGCAGCAGCGGGGGCGGATCTGCACCGACTTTTGACGCAAACAAAGTCAATCAAGTGCAGATATATTTTCTAGACCCTTCCCAGCCCAAACTAGGTCAGGGTGGGGCGGAGGGGGCAGCTGATCTACTGGAAATTTTGACCCAGATAAATACAACTCGATGTCTTTTAACTTTTTCAACCCACAAGCTCAAGTTGGGAGATAAATTGAAAATGCAAATGTGTAATAAAGTGCTGATAAAACCAGCTACAATTCTGTGTAAGCCTCAGTTATAATACTTACTTATTTCAACTAAAAGAATAAGTAGATGTGATTCTAACATTACAATTAATAATTATAAAATCATTGATTTTTCAATTGTTCTCAATGTCATTTCATGCGAAGTGAACTTAGAAATGCTGCTATTGCAAACCACGCTTCCCGCTTTTCGCAGTTATGCTGAATTAAAGATGTATTGCGAATCCGGTGCTATAATCACATTTTGTGTAATGAAGTTTATCTGAGATAATGGCAGCTCTTTATAGATAGTAAAGAACGATTCAACTCTCTGCTGTGTCATCTCGTACCTGAAATAAAAGTTATGCACGAATGGGCACGTGCAAATTTTGTCACGAGCCAAACTTGAAATATTGTCATGTGTATTTTATTGTGTCAGTATGAAGACACCAATTACGACTAGTTGTACCTCTAACTAGATTATGCTGACATAAACGGAAAATATTACATCAGCAGTGATTTGATGAAATATTAGGGCTTTAAAGTTTATTCACTATTACTATTGTATAAATCTCTTAAAGGACTTGTATTCATCTCGATATAACTACTATATCACTATATAGCTTAACTTTCACTAAGCTTGTTGAGCTTCTAATGCTAACTGGATTAATACAGAAAGGAATGGCTGTAGTTCTGTGGATACAAAACTTTAACAAACAAGTCAAGTTACATGAAGAAAACTATTTTATTCTACTAAGTTTGACCAAAACAAAACATTTAAAAACATTCAAATACACTTGCAGTTAGATATTTAAACATATACAAGACATAATAAACACTCATACATGTTTATATCGTTTAACAAACGTATGTGAGCTCCACTTTTATAATCAGACGCTGGCCACGCCTAGCTCCTAAGCCTAAGTGCTTCTTCTATTGTAACAAGAATGTGAACTATGAGCCATTCACAAAAAGGTGCTGTAATTCAATTCTCACATGAATAAGATTAAAATCATGTTTCAAGAAAGTAGAGTTTGCAAACCCTGAAAATGCAAAATGATTGTTGGTCTATGTTTGTGCTGAAGAAAAAATATAAGCAGTATTTGTTTGCTGATGAATACCACTATTCTTTTATGCGTGTACAAAATATATTTAACGGAAGCAACATAAACATCTTATTGATATTTTGTTTTCTGTATATATAATCCTATCAAAATATCTCAAGGAATGCCATGCGTCGAAATTTGAATTTCATCTCGATCTCTTTCAACTAAGTGTTGATGTATTTTTTTAAAACAAAAAATCTTAAATTATTCATTATTGGCGGCTGAAAGCGCAACTCGGACCGATTCCAGTGGAGAGTTTATAAAGATTAGAAAACCAAGTCCGATATGCAAGAATAAATTGATAGAATAAATTGATTGAATAAATGAAATGTAATACACATGATTGAATATTTATATTTTCTAATAGAGTTAACTTAAAACAAAGTAGGGTGCGAAAAAGGCCAGCCAATATGAAAACGCAGGGTAAGTTTTTATCTTTTCGTAGTAGTGTTAGAATCGAGACAATATGATTCTGGCCAGTTTTGGCGGATTTTTAACACCTATCCGTCATTTAGATGCGGCTACCGTGGCCTATTTCTACGAACATTTTTTGACAACCATTCTAACACGACCCGCATTTTTCCCTATTGAACATAGAATATCTAAAAGTGTGTGTTATTATGCTATAAAGACACTGTTTGACGTTCTATATTTAGACATGTGACGTTATCATTATACATGTGACGTAACCACTATTAAATCCGACGCACTGACAAAAAGTACGGAAACAAATCAGGCACAATTTTGCTTATATCAGTACGGCAGCATTTATTTGTTAATTTCGTGTTAGAATCGTAATAATATATACAAATCGGTGATTTTATCGCTGGACAACATCACTGTTTGTCGTTCGGATGCGCATCATTATATCACTCGGTATACGCCCTCGTGATATATAATTCCTCGCATCCGAAATCCAAACAGTGATGTTATTGAGAGATAAAATCACATTTTGGGATATATTATTTCTTAAATAAACACCGCTCAAACCGATACTTCTCTTTAATAATCTAGGAAAAAGAAACAATAGTATGTATAATGAACATCCAAAAATACTACGACATAAAACAACCATGGCTGCGACCGCTAATGACAAAATGTTGATAAGTGCACTTAAATGGAAATTAAAACATTCTTATCCCAAATTACAACATCGGAAAAGAACAACTATGGGTGAAACTGCAAGAGATAAAGATGTGCAAAAAATATACGATGAAATTCGTTAAGAAATTAAAATATTGAGCAAAATAGGAGAAATCTTTAGAAGATAGAACAGAACAGAAAATCATTCAAGATATGAACAAGATTTCTTACAAAATACACACTTTTACGTATTTTTTAAGTCACTCAAAACTGTTGAAATATTTTACACTAACCCAAATAAAATTTGAAAAAAAGGTTGATTCGTACATACCAGTCTGAACCTATAACTTGTACAAAATATCTACACTCTAAAATTCACATTTCAAATATATTTGTAATATAATAATCAAAACTATTTATATATTCTTCTTACATCTCGAAAAACTACATGTCGTTCTAACCAATACACGCCATAATTAGGTTGTCACACACATATTTTTTGATAATTATCATACTAAAAACAATAAAATACAAAAAAAAGTTTGGTGAAAATGAAAACTGACATAATATCTTGTTGAAAAAAAAACAAAAAAAAAAATTAACAAAATTGTCCATACCATCTCTTTTATAATATTTTAATAGTTAATCGCTCAGTGGATCATTTTGAATAAAATATTTGCTCGAAGATATTCTGCTATGTTATGTTTACGAAAAATGCAACTTTAATTTTTTCATGACCACTGCTTTTATACAGTCGTTTTAAGTCTTCTTGATATAACAGTACAGTTACAGTCACACATTTGTTACACTTGAGAATTTTGTTCCTTTTCATCACCCTTCACATTCATCTCATGCGTATTTTCCTTTACATTTGGTTTGTCCTCTCTTTGTTACTTTTCATCACCCTTCTCGTTCATCCCATGTGTATTTTCCTTTACATTTGGTTTGTCCTCTCTTTGTTCCTTTTCATTACCCTTCTCGTTCATCCCATGTGTATTTTCCTTTACATTTGTTCTGTCCTTCCCTTTGTTCTTTTTCATCACCCTTCTCGTTCATCCCATGTGTATTTTCCTTTACATTTGTTCTGTCCTTCCCTTTGTTCTTTTTCATCACCCTTCTCATTCATCCCATGCGTATTTCCTTTACATTTGTTCTGTCCTTCCCTTTGTTCTTTTTCATCACCCTTCTCATTCATCCCATGCGTATTTTCCTTAACATTTAGTTTGTCCTCTCTTTGTTCCTTTTTATCACCTTTCTCATTCTTCCCATGCGAATTTTTCTTTACATTTGTTCTGTCCTCTCTTTGATTATTTTCATCACCATTCTCGTTCATCCCATGCGTATTTCCCTTTACATTTGTTCTGTCCACTCTTTGATTATTTTCATCACCCTTCTCGTTCATCCCATGCGTATTTTCCTTTACATTTGTTCTGTCCTCTCTTTGATTATTTTCATCACCCTCCTCGTTCATCCCATGCGTATTTTCCTTTACATTTGTTCTGTCCTCTCTTTGATGATTTTCATCACCCTTCTCGTTCATCCCATGCGTATTTTCCTTTACATTTGTTCTGTCCTCTCTTTGATTATTTTCATCACCCTTCTCGTTAATCCCATGCGTATTTTCCTTAACATTTGTTATGTCCTCTCTTTGATTATTTTCATCACCCTTCACATTCATCTCATGCGTATTTTCCTTTACATTTGGTTTGTCCTCTCTTTGTTCCTTTTCATTACCATTCTCGTTCATCCCATGTGTATTTTCTTTTACATTTGTTCTGTCCTTCCCTTTGTTCTTTTTCATCACCCTTCTCATTCATCCCATGCGTATTTCCTTTACATTTGTTCTGTCCTTCCCTTTGTTCTTTTTCATCACCCTTCTCATTCATCCCATGCGTATTTTCCTTAACATTTAGTTTGTCCTCTCTTTGTTCCTTTTTATCTCTCTTCTCATTCATCTCATGCGAATTTTCCTTTACATTTGTTTTGTCCTCTCTTTGTTCCTTTTCATCACCCTTCTCGTTCATCCCATGCGTATTTTCCTTTACATTTGTTCTGTCCTCTCTTTGATTATTTTCATCACCCTTCTCGTTCATCCCATGCGTATTTTTCTTTACATTTGTTCTGTCCTCTCTTTGATTATTTTCATCGCCCTTCTTGTTCATCCCATGCGTATTTTCCTTTACATTTGTTCTGTCCTCTCTTTGATTATTTTCATCACCCTTCTCGTTCATCCCATGCGTATTTACCTTTACATTTGTTCTGTCCTCTCTTTGGCATTTACATTTTGATCCAATACCAAGTTTCTTCAAAAAGACTGAATAGGAGGTTTTGATTTCTGGAATTCTCACGGCATATAAAATTGGATCGACGACCGAATTCAGCACATACATGCATGAAATTGTTGCTTTCAATTTAACAATTGTTTCATAGTAATCAAAATCAACAGATACAAAGTATGTACATATATCTAGCCATGTACCTGGCATAAGCAAAACGATATATGTTAACAAAATTGAAAGAAATGTGAAAGCAGATTTCCTAAGAAATATCAGCCGAGGCGATCGTTTTTTCAAGTTATATATTTCATAGAAAACTACAGAATATATAATTACTAAAGCTATCCCGGAAACTGTTGACGCAAAATTGAGAACTGTGAAAATTTCATTTAATGCATCCACTATATGATCTTTAGCCAGCTTGTAAACCAACAAATAAGCCAGTCCAAATACCAGCGCAGTAAGAATCCAAAAGCAACAAATCACAATGTTACCGCGTCCCGGTGACATCAAACGGTCATAGTGTAAAGGTGCTTTGGTGGCTATCAACAAATTTACCGCCAAGCCTAGCATCGTTAACATTTGTGCAAATTGCGTCGTTGAATAAATCCAAGACAGTGACGTCTGCATAGGCCCGTATTCTATTAGAGCATATTGTACAAGAACAGACGGAAAAAACGTAAAAGTTTTGTACAAAATGTAAGGTTGATATAATGATATCCGAGGCTGCAAGACTGACGATCAATTTCGTGTTAGTTTTCCATACACCTGGAATGAATTTCAACGCCATACCGTGACAAAGGTTCAGAAGTATTCCAAAAATAACCAAGGTTATTTCTATCACAACGAAAGAATTCGGGCGATCTTCACTTAAGATGCTATTACTTCCATGATTTTCCCAAAGAGAACGAACAAAGTTGAGCATAGTTTTTTCTGCAACATCCATGAAGTAATCGTCCATGCCTGTTGGTTTGTTTCCTTCATTTTGTTGCCAAAAATGTTCGTTATCCCTAAGGTTGTTGAAAAAACCGGAAACGAAATTGTCCATTTTGTTCTATTCGAGTAACGGAATATGATCATTAGTTGAACATTCATGTGCCATTAAATGCTCTATACTTCATTGAATTAGGAGCGCTTTTTCTATGTTATGCTATTAATAATTTATCATGCTATTTTATATGAAGTTACGTAATAAAATGTAATGGTATTTTGTGTTGTGATGTGTAATTTTGGGTTGTATGGTACAAATATTAAGAGTACATATCTGTTGTGTGGTGGTAAAGTTTAATATAGTGACTTGACGTGTCGTGTAGTCAGTATGCGTTTTGTTTCACTAGTCATGTTTCAAAAAACAACAACATAAAAATGATAAGTCCAAATAGGAACTGATGTGACGAGTTGCAGAATACAGAAAGCTGTAATATATCACTGATATTTGTAATAAGTAAAAACTAGAGAGAAAAAAAACATAACAAAAATCATATTGTCATGGAAATATTAGAGAAAACATGTGAAAAAACTTAATTATTATATTTTGATACTTAAAATATGGCTCGTCATGAAATGAATTATCGTACATTATGTGCGTCTCTAAAAAGGCCAACTATTATTACTGTCGGATACGTGAACGATTCAGATTTTCCGTGGTACGGTGCTTCCATTCAAAATGGAGGAACTGTAAACAACAAGAAGGTTCATGTCATTTTATTTCTATGTATTTAGACAAATCCGTTTTATATAGTAAAAGAAGAATAGTTGCATATAACGTAAAAATAAATTCAATCAAGATCAATAAGTTCACAATATATGTTACATATGAGCTGCGTCATGACAAAACCAACGTAATGGTAACTAACGGATGCGCTGGCTGGTCTGGATCCATGCTGGTCGCAAACGCATTACGTTAGTTTTGTCATGACGCAGCTCATATGATTTAAATGATTTTTTTACTTAAACCTTTCGTAAATAAATGTACATGAAATTCGAACAGAGAGAAGTGGTACATTTTTGAGTCAATCTACATACAATAGGCACATATTTTGAAGTGAATACTCTTGTTTATTGCAGTACATGTATAAAATTAACTGTGGTTTTTCATCTTTTGTTCTGCAAATTTGGTTTCTCGAAAATTGTCTACTTTCTGTTTTGTCTCGATAACGGTGCGGACACCTAGCAACAGTGTGGACACCTTTCAACGGTGCGGACTTTCCGTAAGAAATTAAACGGTGCTTTCACAAATAAGGTAACGGTTACTGTGTAAACATCTTTTTCAAAAATTAAGATTTCGTCAACAAAATTCCACGAATTTTAATTTCATTAATGAATTCATGAAGTTACAATCGTGAATTCAATAAATTAAATTCGAGAATTCCAATCGGCCTTTCCTAGAAGCGTTAATTATTTCGTAAAGTGTATTACATGTGTACAGACTAAAAAATGCAGAAATGTGTATGCGTTCCAATGGTTCTATAATGTATAATAATATATTACAAGTTGATATTTACTAAAATGCCATATCAATTAGCTCAGAAATAATTGAATAAAGTGGTAAGGAATAATTGCTTTATCTGCGAAATAACAAACATTAAACAAACAAACTCGAAAATGTTTGACATTACACTTTTTCGTATTATACTCGTATAATTATTACATTTCAATCATTCTCCACTTATTTTGTCATCAATTATTAAATATGGGATGGGATGAGGTGTGCCATGCGTCGTTAGCGTCTGTTTTACATATTAATGGTTTATCATTTACATTATATCAATTTGTTAATGAAGTTGTTAAATACAGATGAAATTATTATTATTATTATTATTATTATTACTATTATTATTATTATTTGTCGTACGCAGAATGCGCATGCGCGAAATGCTACTTCCGTATCTATGGAAATATTGCAGTGGTCTATAAAATTTGACTTCAATATTCACAGAAGGAACTCTGCTACAGTCGCTGATATATAGGAAGTTAGCAGTAGAAGTTAGCAGTGAGCAGTAGCAAATTTTTTAAAACATGAAATTGGCAGTAGCAGAATGACAGCAGTAGCAATAGCAAAATTATAAAACATGAAATTTGCAGCAGCAGTAGCTCAGCAGTAGCAGTAGCAAAATTATTAAACGTGAAGTTTGCAGTAGCAGTAGCTCAGCAGTAGCAGTACCAAAATTATAAAACGTGATGTTGGCAGTAGTAGTAGCTCAGCAGTAGCAGTACCAAAATTATAAAACGTGAAGTTGGCAGTAGCAGTAGCTCGGCAGTAGCAGTAGCAAATTTATAAAACGTGAAGTTGGCAGTAGCAGTAGCTCAGCAGTAGCAGTAGCAAATTAATGAAACGTGAAGATGGCAGTAGCAGTAGCTCAGCAGTAGCAGTAGCAAAATTATAAAACGTGAAATTGGCAGTAGCAATAGCTCAGCAGTAGCAGTAGCAAAATTATAAAACGTGAAGTTGGCAGTAGCAGTAGCTCAGCAGTAGCAGTAGCAAAATTATAAAACGTGAAGTTGGCAGTAGCAGTAGCACATCAACAGCAGTAGCAAAATTATAAAACGTGAAGTTGGCAGTAGCAGTAGCTCAGCAGTAGCAGTAACAAAATTATAAAAACGTGAAGTTGGCAGTAGCAGTAGCTCAGCAGTAGCAGTAGCAAAATTATAAAAACGTGAAGTTGGCAGTAGTGGTAGCACAGCAGTAGCAGTAGCAAAATTATAAAACGTGATGTTGGCAGTAGCAATAGCACAGCAACAGCAGTAGCAAACTTATAAAACGTGAAGTTGGCAGTAGCAGTAGCTCAGCAGTAGAAGTAGCAAAATTATAAAACATGAAGTTGGCAGTAGCAGTAGCTCAGCAGTAGCAGTACCAAAATTATAAAAACGTGAAGTTGGCAATAGCAGTAGCAGTACCAAAATTATAAAACGTGATGTTGGCAGTAGTGGTAGCTCAGCAGTAGCAGTATCAAAATTATAAAACGTAAAGTTGGCAGTAGCAGTAGCTCAGCAGTAGCAGTAGCAAAATTATAAAACGTGAAGTTGGCAGTACCAGTAGCTCAGCAGTAGCAGTAGCAAATTAATGAAACTTGAAGTTGGCAGTAGCAGAATGACAGCAGTAGCAGTAGCAAAATTATAAAACGTGAAAATTGGCAGTAGCAATAGCTCAGCAGTAGCAGTAGCAAAATTATAAAACGTGAAGTTGGCAGTAGCAGTAGCTCAGCACTAGCAGTAGCAAAATTATAAAAACGTGAAGTTGGCAGTAGCAGTAGCTCAGCAGTAGCAGTTGCAAAATTATAGAACGTGAAATTGGCAGTAGCAGTAGCTCAGCAGTAGCAAATTAATGAAACGTGAAGTTGGCAGTAGCACAGCAACAGCAGTAGCAAAATTATAAAACGTGAAGGTGGCAGTAGCAGTAGCTCAGCTGTAGCAGTACCAAAATTATAAAACGTGATGTTGGCAGTAGTAGTAGCTCAGCAGTAGCAGTACCAAAAATATAAAACGTGAAGTTGGCAGTAGCAGTAGCTCAGCAGTAGCAGTAGCACAATTATAAAACGTGAAGTTGGCAGTAGCAGTAGCTCAGCAGTAGCAGTGGCAAATTAATGAAACGTGAAGATGGCAGTAGCAGTAGCTCAGCAGTAGCAGTAGCAAAATTATAAAACGTGAAATTGGCAGTAGCAATAGCTCAGCAGTAGCAGTAGCAAAATTATAAAACGTGAAGTTGGCAGTAGCAGTAGCTCAGCAGTAGCAGTAGCAAAATTATAAAAACGTGAAGTTGGCAGTAGCAGTAGCTCAACAGTAGCAGTAGCAAAATTATAGAACATGAAATTGGCAGTAGCAGAAGCACAGCAACAGCAGTAGCAAAATTATAAAACGTGAAGGTGGCAGTAGCAGTAGCTCAGCTGTAGCAGTAGCAAAATTATAAAACGTGAAATTGGCAGTAACAGTAACTCATCAGTAGCAGTTACAAATATTTGGATATGAATAAATGAATACAACTTATAAGTAAAAAATTTTGTGGAAGATATTTTGTTTTGATGATGGTATTTTATTATTTGATTTACCTCCTTTGTTTGACACATCGAATAAATTCAATGTACGTAGAGTTACTCAAAAAAATAAATGAATGGACATTTCAATTAAACGCCAATTGTATACAATAAAAGTTTACTTGAATATGGAGATAAATTTCAATTAGACATAAACATATTGATACAGTAGCTTTCCCAAAATTATTCATGTGCCAGCTAGTATCGATAAGATCATCAAAATCACTTATTTGTTCATTATTCTTTGTTTGCATGTCAAATTGAATCTTCATTCATATCAAATATCAAAACAGGTCTAACATAAATTATTCAACTTGCTTTACACGTCGATTTTAATGTTAATTTCGGTTTGCATTAGCTAGGGGAAGAAATCATGAAAATATATTTTCGTCTCTATCATCATCAATAGTAATTTTTTGCATGTAAGTTCAATTCAACTCATATTACCTAATTATTTAAAAAAAAAATCAAATAATTTGATATATTGTAACTTTATGAGTTGATTTCGGTAAAGATAAGTTGATTTCGGTAAAACTACCGAAATCAAGTTGATTTCGGTATCGTTATGTACTGCAAAGACTGGAACTATTTCAGCGACTATAAAGTTCTATAGATTCTTTACTTTGAAACAATAAGAAAATAGTAATTATTAAGCAGACGTCAGTGAACAGTGAGCTGTTAGTTGTAAGCAATGTGACGTAGGCAGTAAGCGTGATAGCAGGACCCAGTCGTTTGTGATGTCAAAAAAAATATTCGGAATGCGATTAGCAATATAAGAATTACATAGTAAGCAGTGCACAGCCAACAGTCACTATCAAATTTTTGTTTTACTTTTGAACATGTTTCCCATATGCCCAACTAGACGTTCATTTTTCTTGGTGAAGTAAGACCTCAGGTGCAACTCTGGCCACCTCAAAACTGTTTTAACTGCGACTATTTACGCACCTATGTCCAGATTCAAAGTTAAAGTTTGCTAATAAATTAATAAAAAAGAAATCTTGTCCAGTTTGTAAAGTTGAAAAAAGAC